TGTCACACCATGAACACTGTCACACCATGAACACTGTCACCATGAACACTGTCACACCATGAACACCATGAACACTGTCACCATGAACACTGTCACACCATGAACACTGTCACACCATGAACACTGTCACACCATGAACACTGTCACACCATGAACACCATGAACACTGTCACCATGAACACTGTCACACCATGAACACTGTCACACCATGAACACTGTCACACCATGAACACTGTCACACCATGAACACTTTCACCATGAACACTGTCACACCATGAACACTGTCACACCATGAACACTGTCACCATGAACACTGTCACACCATGAACACTTTCACCATGAACTCTGTCACACCATGAACACTGTCACACCATGAACACCATGAACACTGTCACACCATGAACACTGTCACACCATGAACACTGTCACACCATGAACACCATGAACACTGTCACACCATGAACACTGTCACCATGAACACCATGAACACTGTCACACCATGAACACTGTCACACCATGAACACTGTCACACCATGAACACTGTCACCATGAACACTGTCACACCATGAACACCATGAACACTGTCACACCATGAACACTGTCACACCATGAACACTGTCACCATGAACACTGTCACACCATGAACACCATGAACACTGTCACACCATGAACACTGTCACCATGAACACTGTCACCATGAACACTGTCACACCATGAACACTGTCACCATGAACACTGTCACACCATGAACACCATGAACACTGTCACACCATGAACACTGTCACCATGAACACCATGAACACTGTCACACCATGAACACTGTCACCATGAACAGTCACCATGAACACCATGAACACTGTCACACCATGAACACTGTCACACCATGAACACTGTCACACCATGAACACTGTCACACCATGAACACTGTCACATGAACACTGTCACACCATGAACACTGTCACACCATGAACACTGTCACACCATGAACACTGTCACACCATGAACACTGTCACACCATGAACACTGTCACCATGAACACCATGAACACTGTCACCATGAACACTGTCACACCATGAACACTGTCACACCATGAACACTGTCACACCATGAACACTGTCACACCATGAACACCATGAACACTGTCACACCATGAACACTGTCACCATGAACACTGTCACCATGAACACTGTCACCATGAACACCATGAACACTGTCACACCATGAACACTGTCACACCATGAACACCATGAACACTGTCACACCATGAACACTGTCACACCATGAACACTGTCACACCGTGAACACTGTCACCATGAACACTGTCACCATGAACACCATGAACACTGTCACACCATGAACACTGTCACACCATGAACACTGTCACACCATGAACACTGTCACACCATGAACACCATGAACACTGTCACACCATGAACACTGTCACACCATGAACACTGTCACCATGAACACCATGAACACTGTCAGCATGAACACTGTCACACCATGAACACTGTCACCATGAACACCATGAACACTGTCACACCATGAACACTGTCACACCATGAACACCATGAACACTGTCACACCATGAACACCATGAACACTGTCACACCATGAACACTGTCACACCATGAACACTGTCACCATGAACACTGTCACACCATGAACACTGTCACACCATGAACACTGTCACACCATGAACACTGTCACCATGAACACTGTCACACCATGAACACTGTCACACCATGAACACTGTCACCATGAACACCATGAACACTGTCACACCATGAACACTGTCACACCATGAACACCATGAACACTGTCACACCATGAACACTGTCACACCATGAACACTGTCACCATGAACACTGTCACACCATGAACACCATGAACACTGTCACACCATGAACACTGTCACACCATGAACACTGTCACACCATGAACACTGTCACCATGAACACTGTCACACCATGAACACCATGAACACTGTCACACCATGAACACTGTCACCATGAACATCATGAGTGCAAGCTATTAAAGTCACCTTTGAAACCAAAACCATGTTCTGTTAGAGCCATAATCTCATACAGTGAGCCATAAACTCACTCATACAGAGAGACACAGACTCATACAGAGAGTCACAGACTCACACAGAGAGACACAGACTCATACAGAGAGACACAGACTCATGCAGAGAGACACAGACTCACACAGAGAGACACAGACTCACACAGAGAGAGACAGACTCATACAGAGAGACACAGACTCATACAGAGAGACACAGACTCATATAGAGAGACACAGACTCACACAGAGACACACAGAGAGACACAGACTCACACAGAGAGACACACACTCATACAGAGAGACACAGACTCATACAGAGAGACACACTCATACAGAGAGACACAGACTCATACAGAGAGACACAGACTCATACAGAGAGACACAGACTCACACAGAGAGACACAGACTCATACAGAGAGACACAGACTCATACAGAGAGACATAGACTCATACAGAGAGACACAGACTCACACAGAGAGACAGACTCACACAGAGAGACACAGACTCACACAGAGACACAGACTCACACAGAGAGACACAGACTCATACAGAGAGACACAGACTCACACAGAGAGACACAGACTCACACAGAGAGACACAGACTCATACAGAGAGACACAGACTCACACAGAGAGACACAGACTCACACAGAGAGACACAGACTCATACAGAGAGACACAGACTCACACAGAGCACAGACTCACACAGACAGACACACACTCATACAGAGAGACACAGACTCATACAGAGAGCCATAGACTCACTCACACAGAGACCCCTAGACTCACCCACACAGAGACCCATAGACTCACTCACACAGAGACCCATAGACTCACACAGAGACCCATAGACTCACACAGAGACCCATAGACTCACTCACACAGAGACCCAGACTCACACAGAGACCCATAGACTCACTCACACAGAGACCCATAGACTCACCACCACACAGAGACCCATAGACTCACTCACACAGAGACCCATAGCCTCACTCACAAAGAGACCCATAGACTCACTCACACAGAGTCCCATAGACTCACCCACACAGAGACCCATAGACTCACACAGACACCCATAGACTCACACAGACACCCATAGACTCACTCACACAGAGACCCCTAGACTCAACCACACAGAGACCCATAGACTCACCCAAACAGAGACCCATAGACTCACTCACACAGAGACCCATAGACTCACTAACACAGAGACCCATAGACTCACTCACACAGAGACCCCTAGACTCACCCACACAGAGACCCATAGACTCACACAGAGACCCATAGACTCACTCACACAGAGACCTATAGACTCACTCACACAGAGACGCCTAGACTCACCCACACAGAGACCCATAGACTCACTCACACAGAGACCCATAGACTCACACAGAGACCCATAGATTCACTCACACAGAGACCCATAGACTCACCCACACAGAGACCCATAGACTCACTCACACAGAGACCCATAGACTCACTCACACAGAGACTCATAGACTCACACACACAGAGACCCATAGACTCACCATAGAGACCCATAGACTCACTCACACAGAGACCAATAGACTCACTCACACGGAGACCCATAGACTCACTCACACGGAGACCCATAGACTCACTCCACAGAGACCCATAGACTCACTCACACAGAGACCCATAGACTCACTCACACAGAGACCCATAGACTCACACAGAGACCCATAGACTCACTCACACAGAGACCCATAGACTCACTCACACAGAGACCCATAGACTCACACAGAGACCCATAGACTCACTCACACGGAGACCCATAGACTCACTCACACGGAGACCCATAGACTCACTCCACAGAGACCCATAGACTCACTCACACAGAGACCCATAGACTCACTCACACAGAGACCCATAGACTCACACAAGGACCCATAGACTCACTCACACAGATACCCATAGACTCACTCACACAGAGACCCATAGACTCACACAGAGACCCATAGACTCACTCCACAGAGACCCATAGACTCACACCACAGAGACCCATAGACTCACTCACACAGAGACCCATAGATTCACTCACACAGAGACCCATAGACTCACTCACACAGAGACCCATAGACTCACACAGAGACCCATAGCCTCACTCACACAGAGACCCATAGACTCACCACTACACAGAGACCCATAGATTCACTCACACAGAGACCCATAGACTCACTCACACAGAGACCCATAGACTCACACCACAGAGACCCATAGACTCACTCACACAGAGACCCATAGATTCACTCACACAGAGACCCATAGACTCACTCACACAGAGACCCATAGACTCACACAGAGACCCATAGACTCACTCACACAGAGACCCATAGACTGACTCACACAGAGATCCATAGACTCACACAGAGACCCATAGACTCACTCATAGAGATCCAAAGACTCACTCATAGAGACCCATAGACTCACTCACACAGAGACCCATAGACTCACTCACACAGAGACCCACAGACTCACCATAGAGACTGTGAGTGGTGGTGATGATGGTGGTGATGATGATGGTGGTGGTGATGATGGTGGTGATGATGATGGTGATGATGGTGGTGATGGTGATGATGGTGGTGATTATGGTGATGATGGTGGTGATGATGGTGTTGATGATGGTGATGATGATGGTGTTGATGATGGTGATGATGGTGTTGATGATGATGATGATGGTGTTGATGATGGTGGTGGTGATGATGGTGATGATGGTGATGCTGATGGTGATGATGTGATGGTGGTGATGGTTATGATGGTGGTGTGATGATGGTGGGACCCAGAGTGGTGGGACTGAGTGATGGTGATCGTGATGATGGTGGTGACCCAATGACCTTGACCTGTCAATCAGCTGATAACAGCCCCCCCCATAGCCCCCCATAGCCCCCCCCCCCCCACAGCCCCCCCACGTACCACGTGACGCCTCAAGATGGCAGGCGGAATCAGACGACCAGAAGTTCTCGACATAAACTCTCGTTCGGTAGACGTCTTCCCACAGCGGTAGATGTCTTCCAAAACCGGTAGACGTCTTCCCAAATCGGCAGATGTCTTCCAAAAGCGGTAGATGTCTTTCCAAAGCGGTAGTCTTCTTCCGAAATAGGTATAAGTCTTCTGAAAGCGGTAGAGTTCTTCCCAAAGCGGCAGATGTCTTCCAAAAGCGGTAGAAGTCTTCCGAAAGCGGGAGTCGTCTTCGGAAAGCGGTAGACGTCTTCCAAAGTAGGTAGACCTCTTCCGAAAGCGGTAGACGTCTTCCTAAAGCGGTAATCGTCTTCCTAAATAGGTAGAAGGCTTCCGAAAGCGGTAGACGTCTTCCAAAGTAGGTAGACCTCTTCCGAAAGCGGTAGACGTCTTCCTAAAGCGGTAGTCGTCTTCCTAAATAGGTAGCTGACTTCCGAAAGCGGTAGACGTCTTCCCAAAGCGGCAGATGTCTTCCAAAAGCGGTAGACGTCTTCCTAAAGCGGTAGTCGTTTTCCTAAATAGGTAGATGACTTCCGAAAGCGGTAGATGTCTTCCAAAAGCGGTAGACGTCTTCCGAAAGCGGGAGCCGTCTTCGGATAGCGGTAGACGTCTTCCGAAAGCGGTAGACGTCTTCCCAAAGCGGTAGTCGTCTTCCTAAATAGGTAGACGTCTTCCGAAGGCGGTAGATATCTTCCGGAAGCGGTAGACTACTTACGAAAGGGGTAGTCGTCTACCGGAAGCGGAAGTTCTCTACCGGAAGGGGAAGACGTCTTCCCAAAGCAGTAGTCGTTAGACCTCTTCCGGAAGCGGTAGAAGACTTACGAAAGCTGTAGTCGTCTTCCGGAAGCGGTAGACGTCTTCCCAAAGCGGTAGTGGTCGGCTTCCAAAATCGGCAGACGTCTTGCGAAAGCGGTAGCCGTCTTCCGAAAGCGGTAGCCGTCTTCCGAAAGCGGCAGTCGTCTTCCCAAAGCGGCAGTCGTCTTCCCAAAGCGGCAGGCGTCTTCCGAAAGCGTCTTCGTTCAGAATCGCCAATGTGGCTTTGAAGAGGGAGAATCGTGTCAAGTTGATTCGCCGCGGGGAACTCGACCGCCGCCCGTCTCGAGAGAGGCAGAGAAGATGGAGAGAGAGAGGTGGGGGAGGGGTCTGGTGTCGTGGTTGTTGCTGTTTGAGTTGTCAGCCGTGAGGACAGCTGAGCGGCAATCACAGCACCCACGGGACCATAGGTGGGGCCTCGACTCTCGCGAGAACTCGCTGCTAACCCCCACCCCAAACTCTCGCGAGAACTCGCTCCTAACCCCCACCCCCCTCCCCAACTCTCGCGAGAACTCGCTCCTAACCCCCACCCTCCCCTCCCCAACTCTCGCGAGAACTCGCTCCTGCCCACACCCCAAACTCTCGCGAGAACTCGCTCCTGCACACAACCCCAAACTCTCGCGAGAAACCGCTCCTGCCCCCATCAAATCTTGCGAGAGCTCGCTCCTGCCCCCACCCCAAACTCTCGCGAGAACTCGCTCCTGCCCACCCGAGCTCTCGCGAGAACTCGCTCCTGCCCCCACCCCAAACTCTCGCGAGAACTCGCCCCTGCCCACCCAAATCTTGCGAGAACTCGTTCTTGCCCCCACCCCAACTCTCGTGAGAACTCGCTCCTGCCCACTCGAGCTCTCGCGAGAACTCGCTCCTGCCCCCCAAAATCTTGCCAGACCTCGTTATTGCCCCCACCCCAACTCTCGCGAGAACTTGCTCCTGCCCACTCGAGCTCTCGCGAGAACTCGCTCCTGCCCCCACCGCAACTCTCGCGAGAACTCGCTCCTGCCCACCTCCAAACTCTCGCGAGAACTCGCTCCTGCCCCCACCCGAACTCTCGCGAGAACTCGCTCCTGCCCCCAAACTCTCGCGAAACCTCGCTCCTGCCCCTTCCAAACTCTCGCGAGAACTCGCTCCTGCCCACCCCAAATCCCTCGCCTCACTATAAATTATCGCGAGATCACGAAACCAAAACCTCGCGGCCCCTCCCCCCCACCCTCCAAATATGGGCATGGGAGTTTGAGGGGGTGGGGTTATGCTAATGAGCAGCTGACATCACAATCCGATCGTCTATCGGACTGCGGGAGGAGGTAAGGGGCCGACCATAAATGACGTCACGCACCTGGGGGGGCAGGGGGAGGGGTCAGACATTTGTGACGATATGTGACGTCAGGGCTTATATTCTTAGCTCTTTCGGTAAAGTCACGTTGAAGGGAAACAACATTATAAAATAAATATATAACAATACAAAATTCTCACGACGTTTCGACCATAACACAAACGGTCGTCATCAGGTGTGTCGGTTTGCATTAATTTATTTATTTGTAAACGGTGTGTTTATTTATTTATAAAAAAACGTCAGCGCCACGCGCAGCGATTTGGCAGATTATTTAGAAGGACTAGTCCATCTATGTTCTGAAAAGAGGAGGGGGGAGACGAAAAATTAATGTATGCTGTCTGAAAGCCACTGTAAGCGTGAACAATCAATTAAGACCCCTGAAATGGCTTATCAAATCCTTCCAATGATTGCTAAGCCAGAATCCATCTTCTCGGTTGAAATTGTCTCTGTGCTTGTATATGTGGATAGCCTCATGAACGAATCTCCCATGGTAGCCAGATGGCTTGCAAAGAACCTCTGTCTTGGAAAAGTCAATGTCATGTGAGCCTACTGAATTATAACAATGATCTGCCACGGCCGAGGTGTTGGTACCTACCGTGTTTAAGGTCTGCTTTGTGTTCACGAATGCGGTCCGAGACATGGCGTTTGGTTTCTCCAATGTAACTACTACCACAGAGGCAAACTTAGTTTGTAGACACCAGAGTACTGTATGTCCGGAATCACATCTCCTCTTTTCAGAACATAGATGGACTAGTCCTTCTAAATAATCTGCCAAATCGCTGCGCGTGGCGCTAACGTTTTTTCTATAAATAAATAAATACACCGTTTAAAAATAAATAAATTAATGCAAACCGACACACCTGATGATGACCGTTTGTGTTATGGTCGAAACGTCGTGAGAATTTTTTTTATTGTTTTATATATTTTTTATTATTTGATTGTTTCCCTTCAACGTGACTTTACCGAAAGAACTAAGAATATTAATTACTGCAGTCACGAAAGCTTTAAATCAAAACGTTCTGCTTAATTAAATATATTTTTAATCCAATGTTTTATCCTACAACATCAGAGTGCAGCGCCACATTACACAGCTGACGATGATGATGATTGCTGCTTTGTGTCGCAGTAGAAACGTCGTGAGAATTTTATTGTTTTATATTTCTATTATTTTATTGATTTATATTTTTATTATTTTATTGGTTTATATTTTTATTATTTTATTGTTTTATATTTTTATTACTTTATTGTTTTATATTTTTATTACTTTATTGTTTTATATTTTTATTATTTTATTGGTTTATATTTTTATTATTTTATTGTTTTATGTTTTTATTATTTTATTGTTTTATATTTTTATTATTTTATTGTTTTATATTTTTATTATTTTATTGTTTTATATTTTCGTTATTTTATTCTTGATGATTGCTGCTTTGTGTTGCAGTAGAAACGTCGTGAGAATTTTATTGTTTTATATTTTTATTATTTTATTGTTTTATATTTTTATTATTTTAGTGTTTTATATTTTAATTAGTTTATTGTTTTATATTTTTATTATTTTATTGGTTTATGTTTATTATTTTATTGTTTTATATTTTAATTATTTTATTGGTTTATATTTTTATTATTTTATTGTTTTATATTATTATTTTATTGTTTTATATTTTTATTATTTTATTGTTTTATATTTTTATTATTTTATTCTTGATGATTGCTGCTTTGTGTTGCAGTCGAAACGTCGTGAGAATTTTATTGTTTTATATTTTTATTATTTTATTGTTTCATATTTTTATTATTTTATTGTTTTATATTTTTATTATTTTATTGTTTTATATTTTTATTATTTTATTGTTTTATATTGTTATTATTTTATTGTTTTATATTTTTATTATTTTATTGGTTTATATTTTTATTTTATTGTTTTATATTTTTATTATTTTATCGTTTTATATTTTTTATTATTTTATTGTTTTATATTTTTATTATTTTATTGTTTTATATTTTTATTATCTTAGTGTTTTATATTTTTATTCTTTTATTGTTTTATATTTTTATTATTTTATTGTTTTATTATTTTTATTATTTTATTGTTTTATATTTTTATTATTTTATTCTTGATGATTGCTGCTTTCTGTTGCAGTCGAAACGTCGTGAGAATTTTATTGTTTTATATTTTTATTATTTTATTGTTTTATATTTTTATTATTTTATTGGTTTATATTTTTTATTATTTTATTGTTTAATATTTTTATTATTTTACCGCTTTATATTTTTATTATTTCATTATTTTATATTTTCATTATTTTATTCTTGATGATTGCTGCTTTGTGTTGCAGTAGAAACGTCGTGAGAATTTTATTGTTTTATATTTTTATTGTTTTATATTTTTATTGTTTTATATTTTTATTATTTTATTCTTGGGGGGGGGGCGGGGGGGGGGGGAAGAGCAGAGCGGACAGGCGGGGTAAATTCACGGTAAATCGAATCACTAGCGGGAGGGGGGGGATTAAAAAAACTTATAGATTTAAAGCTTTCGTGACTGCTAGGATCCATACTCTTATACGCTATTTCAACGAGCCATTTCAATGCTAAATTCAATGCCAATTCCTTTGTCATGGCGCTTTGATTTCTTCTCACACACAGCTTAAACGGTCGCGATCTGAGCTCGCGGCCTCTCTCACTCCAGCGCTGTCCTCCGAGTCAGTCTCGTCCCTTCCACCTGATGAAGGCCGCTTGTGTTTGTGGCCGAAACGTCGTGATTTTTTGTTATTTCATTTTCACCTACGTGACTTTACCCAATAGAACCAAAGAGTAGGGACAGAAAAAACAAACTGTGTCGTGCGGTCTTTTGCGGGAGGGCGGAGAGAGCGAGCGAGCGAGAGAGCCGCCGGGTGTCAGCGCGAATTGTTTACCGGGGCGCGGAGTGTTCAGCGCCCCCCGCCCCCGTGTGTCTAAGCGATTAGCTCACCTACGCGATCCCTTACAGCCCCCGTGTCTAAGCGATGAGCTTGCAGCCCCCGCGTGTCTAAGCGATTAGCTCATCTACACGATCCCTTGCAGCTCCCGTGTCTAAGCGATGAGCTTACAGCTCCCGTGTCTAAGCGATGAGCTTACAGCCCCCCGTGTCTAAGCGATGAGCTTACAGCCCCCGTGTCTAAGCGATTAGCTTACAGCCCCCCCGTGTCTAAGCGATGAGCTCACAGCCCCCGTGTCTAAGCGATGAGCTCACAGCTCCCGTGTCTAAGCGATGAGCTCACAGCCCCGTGTCTAAGCGATGAGCTTACAGCTCCCGTGTCTAAGCGAGTAGCTCACAGCCCCCGTGTCTAAGCGATGAGCTTACAGCTCCCGTGTCTAAGCGATGAGCTTACAGCCCCCGTGTCTAAGCGATGAGCTCACAGCCCCGTGTCTAAGCGATGAGCTTACAGCCCCCGTGTCTAAGCGATGAGCTCACAGCTCCCGTGTCTAAGCGATGAGCTCACAGCCCCGTGTCTAAGCGATGAGCTTGCAGCCCCCGTGTCTAAGCGATGAGCTTACAGCTCCCGTGTCTAAGCGATTAGCTTACAGCTCCCGTGTCTAAGCGATTAGCTCACAGCTCCCGTGTCTAAGCGAGTAGCTCACAGCTCCCGTGTCTAAGCGATTAGCTCACAGCCCGCGTGTCTAAGCGATGAGCTTACAGCCCCCGTGTCTAAGCGATGAGCTTACAGCCCCGTGTCTAAGCGATGAGCTCACAGCCCCCGTGTCTAAGCGATGAGCTCACAGCTCCCGTGTCTAAGCGAGTAGCTCACAGCCCCCGTGTCTAAGCGATGAGCTTACAGCTCCCGTGTCTAAGCGATGAGCTTACAGCCCCCGTGTCTAAGCGATGAGCTCACAGCCCCGTGTCTAAGCGATGAGCTTACAGCCCCCGTGTCTAAGCGATTAGCTCACAGCTCCCGTGTCTAAGCGATGAGCTCACAGCTCCCGTGTCTAAGCGATGAGCTCACAGCCCCGTGTCTAAGCGATGAGCTTGCAGCCCCCGTGTCTAAGCGATGAGCTTACAGCTCCCGTGTCTAAGCGATTAGCTCACAGCTCCCGTGTCTAAGCGAGTAGCTCACAGCCCGCGTGTCTAAGCGATGAGCTTACAGC